CGCCGCCGCCACGCGCCCAGCGCCAGGACGTCCATGCGGCCTCGGGCGTCCCCGCGGCCGTCGAGCTACGGGACGGTGCCACGCCCCGTCACGTGTCTCCGGACGGCCGACCGGGAAGTGGAGGCGTGGTCCCGAGCGCGCGGGAACCCCGCCAGGCGGAGGGCGGCGGGCCGCGGGAGCAGAGCCGAGGTCCTCTCGGGTGACAGGGGCGGGGAGCCGGCCGTCTGCCCAGGTCGCTGTTTGACGAAGAAGAATCGGCGGCTTCTTCAGTCCTAGACCGCTCCCGCCTCTGCTAACAGCCCTTGCTAACAGGGTGCGAGAGGACGGCTCCTCCTCTCCCTTGTGATTGGTCACTGAGTCCCACCGGCATCCTCTCCTGACGCTGCTGGGCTGACAGATAGCTCAGTGATCCAATCACCATGGGCGAGGCTGCAAGGGTCTCTGGGACTTGTGGTCCCACGAATTCGTCTTACTTCCGGGCAGCAGTTGCCTGCGAGGAGTCCCCTGCCGAGTCTGCAATGTTGATGGTTTCCCCCGGGGCCGGCGGGAGCCGCCCAGGCCCTGGCCTGCCCGGGATGACCCGAAGAGAAAACCAGACAAGCCCGAGCGCGAGCAGTGGAGGTTCTCACTGCTTGGATCGCGGCCGTGGGAAGGCTAGTGGCCTGCTATATTTATTTAAGTTTACTTAAATTTGCATAAGACTCCCTCTTCGCCTGCAGAATTGGGGTTTTACTCAGCCTCGTGCTTGCTACACAAGTACCCTCGAACTACACCCGTCATCATTTTTCTCTTTTAGTACTTTTTTCAAATAAAATCTCCTGTTTTTCATGTTTTGACCTCAGACCTGGAGCCTCAGCCTCACTGGGACTACAGGTGGACACCCCCATTTTGTCTTAATTTTTTTATTTTTGCCAGTCCTGGGCCTTGAACTCAAGGCCTGGGCACTGTCTCTGAGCTGTTCTTGTTCAAGGGTAGCACTCTGCTACTTGAGCCACAGTGCCACCCCCAGCTTTTCTGTTGATGGGGTACTGAGGTAGTGACCCCAGGGCTGCATGCACTCTACCACTAAGTCATATTCCCAGCCCCAAAATATTATTAGTTTTTTGGGGGGTCCGGTCGTTGGGCCTGAACTCTGGGCCTGGGCGCTGTCCCTCAGCTCTTCAGCTCAAGGCTAGCACTCTACCACTTGAGCCACAACGCCACTTCCGGCTTTTTTCTTTTTGCTTATGTGGTGCTGAGAAATCGAACCCAGGGCCTCATGCATGCAAGGCAAGGGCTCTACCACTGAGCCACCTTCCCAGCCCCCAAAAATTATTTTTAATGTCAAAAATAATAATATGCCAGGTACCAGTGGCTCACCACTGTAATCCTAGCTACTCACAAGGCTGAGATCTGAGGATCACTGTTCAAAACCAGCATTACAGGTAAACAAAAATAATAGACATCCATAAAGCTGTTTTAAATGCTCATTTAGATATGTTATAATGAATAAATTAGCTATCAGAAGAAAGTATCTGAAAAGTTTCATGACACTGATTTCATAAGATGCCAAAAAGCAATCAACAAAAGAAAAAATACAAATAAGCTAGACTGTATCAAAATTTAAAAGAGGGCTGGGGGTGAGGCCCAAGTGGTAGCCAGTCTAACAAGCATGAAATCCTGAGTTCACACCCCCACTGCTAAGAAAACAAAGTAAAAGTACTAAATTTTAAATGTTTGTGTATCAAATGATATTATTGATTTGATGAAAGGCCAGCATATAAGCTGAGAAAGTACTTGTAAATCATGTATCTGATAAAGTGTTAATATCTGGAATTTATAAAGAATTCTTTTGCCCAGGTGCTGGTGGCTCATGCCTGTAATCCTAGCTACTCAGGAAGCTGAGATCTGAGGATCTCCGTTCAAAGTCAGCCCTGGCAGGCAGGAAAGTCCGTGAGACTCTTATCTCCAATAAACCGCTAGAAAACAGGAAGTAGGGCTGTGGCTCAAGCAGTAGAGCGCTCGCCTTGAGCTGAAGAGCTGAGGGACAGCACCCAAGCCCAGAGTTCAAGCCCCACGACCAACCAAAATAAAAATTAAAATAACTAAAAGAAACCGGGTACCAGTAATCCCAGTAATCCAGGCCTGTAATCCTAGCTACTCAGGAGGCTGAGATCTGAAGATCAAAGTTGAAAGCCAGCCTGTGCAGGAAAGTCTGTGAGACTCTTATCTCCAATTAACCACCAGAAAACCAGGGCTATGGAGGGAGACTTTATCTCAAAGTCAAGATGGCAATTTTTATGTAGTTGATATGTCATAGAATTTAAAACACATTCTCTATTGAGAAGGAAGTCACATCTCCATACATAGGATAGTTCATTTTGCACACCACCTTCAGGGAAAGTGGTTCCTAGGAAGAAAGTGGCTGGATTTCTGATCTTCTATTTCTAGTTCCTAGGCGAGCTGTCTTAAGGCCAAGCCTCCTTCCCCCTTCCAGTGTTAGAGGGAGATGGGAATAACTGCCTGCCTTAGTGGCGGCTGTTCACTGTCAGGGCCTGCCTCTGGAGTGCTGAGCACTGTCTCAGGAGCCTCACTTGAGATAACCTCTGTCACTGCCTCCAGCTTTCCCCAGCAGAGCACTGGACCCTAGGTGTCCAGAGAGGTTCACTTCAGCCATGTGTGTTGTGCTGGGGGGTGGGGGGGATAATGCTCCTGAGCCTCTTCTGTGAGGTAGGAATAAAGCAGCTCCCTTGCTTGCTGGCACAGATGTCAGAGAAACTCTGACTTCTCTGAGGGCGGCTAGAATCAGGAAAAGAAACAAAAACCAAAAAAACCCTTTGGCATGTCTACCTCCATCTTACATCTGTGTCCTTGTCTCTGAGTCTTTGTAGTCACCTTGAAGCCAGTTGGAATGCTGGGAGGCAGAACTGATGGATAACTTCTGGATGAGAATCAGAAACTATCCACTAGCACACAATGACTTTCTTATAGTGACCAGACCTCACCCAACCAATCCTGAAAAGATAGACAAGCAGACCCACACCAAAGATAAACTGAATGTTAACTGTGCCTCTTTTCCAGAAACATTCCCAGGTAGTTTAATAAATCTCTGAGCCAGGTGCTGGTGGCTCAAGCCTGTAATCTTTGCTATTCAGGAGGCTGACTTCTGAAGTGATTTGAAGCCAGCCCAGGCAGGAAAGTTCACAAGACTCTTGTTTCTAATAAACTACCAAAAACCAATACAACAAAAGTAGAGCTGTGGCTCCAGTGGTAGAGAGCTAGCCTTGAGCAAAAAAGCTCAAGGGACAGAGCCCAGGCCCTGAGTTCAAGCCCAAGACTGGCACCAAAACCAACAATAACAAACAAATCTCTGCCCTTCACTATTGCTTCTTTACTTGGCACGTCTGAACAGCGGCAGGGCCTGACAGGAAGCCTTGAGCTGGGCCTGGTAGCCATCTAGCACACATCCTGGCCTACAGTGGGTGTTTAAATGTGCTCCTTCCCTCCCTCTTGACCTCTTTTTAAGGAACTCTGCACCTCCTTCCTGTTAGGTTTTTAAAAGAGGTAGCCGAGTAAGAACAGCACCACGCATGTGGTATTCAGGTAAGGGGTAGGTTTATTCAGTGGACCTGCTGGGACCAGGCCAGGTGGCACTCCACGTGGCTGGCAAAAAGAGCGTCTGGCCCTGGGTTAGGCCTTATATAGGGTAGGGTGGGGAAAGGTGTGTCCAGGTAAAGGGAAATGGGGCCAGGTAAAAGGAGGCGGGGAGAAAGGTGTGGCCACATCAGATCCAGATGTGACCTCAGCGGATGCAGGTGTGACCTCTTCCAGGTGGGCAGGGTCTGCTCGCCATCCAGGAATGGACCTTACACTTTCCCCAAAAAAGAATAGAGGAAAGTAAAACAGACTTTTGGGGGAGAGTGTTAGTAGGGGAAGGGACCACAAAAAATGTGAAGGTGGATGGACTAAGATTGAAAGAGTTTATTCCCATGAATGAAAGTAAAACAATGAAACCAGTTGAAATTGTTTTAAGAAGGGGAGTGGGATTGAGGAGAGGGAGGGAAGAGGTGAGGGGGATACCGATGAACTATTCATTTATACCATGAAATTGTTTGTTCGTTTGTTTTTAGGTCCAGTCGTGGGGCCTGAACTCTGGGCCTGGGCGCTGTCCCTCAGCTCTTCAGCTCAAGGCTAGCACTCTACCACTTGAGCCACAGCACCACTTCCGGCATTTTTCTTTTTGCTTATGTGGTGCTGAGGAATTGAACCTAGGGTCTCATGCATGCAAGGCAAGGGCTCTACCACTGAGCCACCTTCCCAGCCTCTATACCATGAAATTGTATAACTAATGTGTCTTTAAATAAGATGGAGATATACTATGGTGACTCCCTTTCCAGAGGACGTTCCCTGCACTGCGCATGGTCTATTCCTGCTTAGTGTTCAGACTTTCGTAAGCATTATGCCGACCTTTGATCCTCAGCTCCACCCAAACCTGAGCTCATCCCTGCCCAGGAGTTCCCACCGAACTGCTTGGCCCCTTCCTCTGTCCACCCAGACCCACCTGAGCTCTCATCTACCTCTTACCTTATCTACTTCCTACCCCTCAGACCCTGCTGCTACCTAGAAAGTGCAGGCTGCCATGTGCTCTTTCTTTCTGGGGGAAATATGGCTTCTCTAATAAACCTAATAATCTTTCTCCTGTGCCTGTCTGCCTCCTCTTGGTCCCTGGCATGGATGTAACAGATCCTTTCATTGATCCTTTCAACTTTGAGTGAAAGGGCCCCTAGTAAGAGGACTTGTGTGGGACCACGCTACCTACAGCAGCCGCGGTGGACTTCTGGAATGGCCCAGTTCAGATCTGTAGCTGTGGCTGTATCTCCTGATCAGTGTTTCTCACCCTTCCCCTTTGCCCCTGAGGCTCCTCCCCAGGCAGGCAGTCTACACTAGGGAATTTGCTGACCTAACTAACCAGAGACTTCATGTCACTTAATCCTTTAGCAACACTGTGGGAGATGGCGGCCCACAGTGCCCAGGACTGCACCTTCTGTGAAGCAGCCAACCCCGATCCCCACTCTGCTTCCTCTCCTCTCCTGGCTCTCTGGGCATCTGCTTGTGGAGCTACACCTTCTTAATGTGGGGGGGGAGAAGAGGGAAGCAAAGTGGGGTTACATGACAAAAAAATCAAACTTAGCTCCTGTTTCCTCAGTGGTTCCCAGACTGCCCTGCAGATGCCCATTTTGGGACCTACAGAGCAGCTATCTTTTTCCTTTCCTTTTCCTTTTCTTCCCTTTTTCATTCATTTTCTCTTTCTGTTTATCTTATTAAAATTATTGTTATTATAAAGATGAAGTACAGGGCTGGGAAAGTGGCTCAGTGGTAGAGTGCTTGCCTTGCATGCCTGAGGCCCTGAGTTTGATTCCTCAGCACCACATAAGAAAAAAG